CGGAGCCATGCATTGCAGGCACGTGCAAGTGCAGATTGACACAGCAAAAATATTGCCATCATAAAACTGCTGCTGCTGCTGCTGCTGCTGTGCAAGCCTGACCCTGCAAGCTGCCCAAATCCCCAGGGCCACTGAAGCCGGTGGGTGTGGAAGGCATTTTGGACCTGGGAGGACGTGGATCCTACACTGATTTTGTCCAAGTTTCAGGAATACGGTATTTAAGAGCACTGGCCGAATTTTGCTCTTCCTGTTACAGCAGAAGAAATTGTTAAAACAAAGAGAGTTACAGTAAAGTTGAATGGTCCTGAAAATGTGCCTCCATCTGTTCTGTAAAGGGACTGTGCTCCCCTCTGGAACTATCAACGCAATTGCAAAGTTATCTGAAGCAATTCTGAAGCTGGGAACTGGTCCCCGGTGAAAGAGGGAACAAAATTTAATTTTGAGCATAAAATTATCCTTCCAAAAAGCGGTGGGAGCCCCTGGAGGGCGATGTAGTGGCTTCAGTGGTCGTATGTCAGGAGGCAGCAGCTTTGGCTTGGGCTTGGTGCAAGTCCATGAGACTTCAAACACAGACACACCCTCTCCCCCCCCCACCAGCTTGACCAAAACGGGGTCCCCAGGACGTGGAAGGTGTTCACAGACCCGTGGTGCTCACAGGTGGTGGTGCTCAGTCCGCACCCACACCTCCCCAGCCCTGCGAGAGGAGCTGCAGAGAGCAGCTGAGCAGGGCTGCAGGTTTGCTCCCTGTGACCCCAGGGGGAATTTGCCCACCGGGAATTTCCCTTGTCAAACGAAGTCGGAGAGCAGGAGCAGGAGGGTGGCCCCGCAGCTACAGTCCCTTCCCAGCACAAGGCACTGTAAGTCCGTGTCCGCTCCCAGGAGCTGCCCTTGCCCAGCAGCTGGCTGCACCTTTTGGCTGGGCAGGCAGGGCTGAGGAGGAGAAGGGCGGGATCTCCAGAGGGAAGTGGCAGAGGGAGCCTGGTTGCAGCCGGGATGGGGTGGGAGGCGTCGCACACTGACAGCAAAGGGACTGCGGGAGCGATCACAGGCTGGACACGGGTTCGTGCAGCCCCTGGCTCTTCCCATCTCCTCTCCTGCAGTAGCTGTGCTCCTCCTCACTCAGGACACAACTGCAGGGTCGCTGGTCATGCACAGACACGGTGACTCGGGGGGTGAGCAGTGCCCTGCTCACCCCTGGGGACACAGAGGCGCAGGAGGGGACAGGGAGCGAGGACAGCCCAAAGTCAGAGCCATTTCTCTGGCCAGTGTGGGTGTGACGGGCTCAGTTCCTCACGTGTGACGAGCTCAGGCCTTCACAGCCACAGCTGTGGAGGTGACATCTCTGTGAGGCCACTCCTGATGGCAGACATCTCATTATTTTCCTGCTGTCTCTCATAAACAGAAGAACAACAAACTCCCAGGCCGTCCTTCAGGGCAGATGAAACATTCGAGTTTCATCAACAGCACAGGCACCAGATACCCTTGCACTGAAGGAGCAACTGATTTTTCCCTGCTAGTGGACACAGCAGGCTGGGAAAACAGAGAACCTTTTCCCAGGAGTTTTCAAGTCCATATAACACCTTTCTGTGGACGACTGAAAGACCTATGAATTAAAATCTTTGCAGGAAAAAACCACTTCATAGTGTCTTGCAAAGCAAATCTCCTGTTTAGAGAAGAGTCTCTTCAGTACCTGGGGAGTGAAAAGGAGCAGAGCTGCTCCAAAAGGGTGGTGGTGGATATCCACCAGGAGAGGGACTGGGACACTGGGTCAGGCTGGGTGCCCATCAGGTGCCCTTGCCACCGGGGCCCTAGGAGGCTGTGCAGGAGCTTGGATGGGCAGCAGGCACCTGGAGGTGACACATTTGTGAGCTGAGTGCCCAAGGGGCACAAGCCCTCCATGTGTGACACCCCTGAGCAGCTCATCCGTGGCAGACCCCACCTCACCCTCTGCATTTATTCATGCCAGAGACATTGTGGCTACACCCACACGTCAGGAATGTCACATGGAGATGAGCAGAGTCTAGACAACTGGTGGAAGAGCCACATTTATGGAATAATAAAGCAGAGCCACAAGTTTCTTTCCCCCTGTGTTGCAGGAGAAAATGAAGCTCGAGGGGAGTGCGAAGCCCCCGCAGGCAAAGGGGATGGAGGAGAGAAATTCAGACGTCTGAGACTGACTCAGAAAACAGGGAATCGAAATTCCCAGTGTGGCTTGTGAGGACTGAATGGTCCTATCCAGTGGGAGCAGAGAGGAGCCCTGGGGGACATAAACTCCATGGGAGGGATGTTTCTCCTCCAGGGCCAGGCAGGGAGCAAGGCCTTAAAATACGTTTATTAATTCCCTTCCAAAGGGCTCTGAAGGACTCACCGACCCAGCGCCTGTTGAACGTGGGAGGGTTTTGCCATCTGCCTGGCACAGACCCCTTTGGAGACCCCATTGAAGGCAAGGCACACAGTTCCCTGCTGTTTGCACCAGCAGCTCAGGTGGAAGGAGGAGATGGAGGTGGCAAGTTTTGGGGTGCAGGAAAAGCAAGCCCCTTCAGCTCAGACACAGCGTCCAGCAGCTATACAATTTCCAGGTGGGAGATGTTACAGCCATGCAGGCAGAAGGCAGGACAGGAGGAAACTACGTGCCAGCAACACAGAGAGAGCTGGAAAGAGGATGAAGACAAGGGAATTTCTTTGGGCACTCCCTCCTCCTCAGGCTGTACTGCTCCTTCTACCCAAGGAGGCCCAGAGCACAAAGCCCAGAGCCAGAATCGAATTTCCCCAAAGAAGAGGATGAGTTTGATTTTATTCCTTTAGCTGTGTTTCTGCAGCCATGGGGTCGGGGGGCAGGGCCAGGCTCTGGGGCCTGGGAGCTGTCCCCACAAACAGTTCCTCTGCCCAAACTCCCCTGTCCCAGCAGCAAAGGGACCCAGCAAAGGGACCCCCATCCCACTGCCCTCCCTGGCTTTAGGGCACAACCCACAGGGGTGCACTGTGGGCTGCCCTTTTCCCTGTCCTGCCTTCACCCCCAGGTCACCAAGTGCCTGGGGGGGCTGACACAAAGCTGGCCGTGCCCCTGGCTCCCTGCCCTGCTGCCAGCCCTGCCAGCCCGGCGAGCTCGGCTCTGGCCACACCGTGGCAGCATTCCTTCGTGTTTCGTACCGGGACCAGCAAAAACGAGGCCTGGATCTCAAATCCTCCCGGTGCCTGGAGGCTTTTCGCTCCCGGATTTTGGGCTGGAGTTCCTTCAAGCATTCAGGGAGTCGAAGCTGCAGAAGACGGTCACGGCACGTGGAGATGCGGCCAGGCAAGAGGAAGGAGAGGGCAGGAGGTCTTGGATGAGGGTGGGAATAACTGCACAGCCTGGGGCTGGGGAGCCGGCACGGCTTGTTCCGTGGGCTGGGAGAGCAGCAAACCTCCTGCAGCTGTTTTCTGTTCTGAGTTTGGCTTAGGGCAGACAATCTCAGCCCCCTGAAAGCGAGCTCATCAGTGCAGCTCCCGGACAAAGCCTCTGCCGTGGCCGGTTTTGATGCTTCACTCCATGCAAGCCTCAGTGCACAGCTCAGCAGAGCAGGGGCAGGAGGAAAGGACCAGCACCTGCCACCTCCAAATGCCAACCTCCCCTCCCTGCCTCCAGCCAGAGCTGCAGCCACGTCCTGCTGTCCTTGTCCTGGCAATGAGGGAGGACAAACCTTCTCCGGGGTGCGGAAGAGAGGAGGAGGAAGGACGCACAAGGTCGCACGTGCTTTACCTCGCAGGCAGCTCTCCCCTGTTAAAGGGACTGATACCTCTCCGTGTTAACAGCTTGCTTTTGGGGCCAGGTTTTTGCAGCAGGGCTGAGGTGTGAGGGTGTCAGAGCCCAGAATCACACAGCACCTTTGCAGCTGACCTCACCTCCCTTCTCACAGGAGATGTCCTGGCCAAGACAGCTCGTGCTCCCGCCGAGGGGACTGGTTCACCACAGGGATGCCACACGGATTTCTCTTGGCAGGAGGTCGCTCCACGGTGGTGTTTTCTGCTCCCAAAGCTGTGGAAGTGGCTGGGGTCTGCTGTGCCAGAACTGCCCATGGCACTGTGCTAAGGTGGAGCTGATGCTCTCCGGGGTTTCAAGACTCCTCCGTTGGCACATCCTCACCAAGGACCTGGAGCCTCCACAACCCTCCACGTGCTGCCTTCCCAATAAGCTTTGTAACAAGAGGTGCCTCTTGCAGCTGGAGTTGGAGACGCTTCTCTCCCATCCTCATGGCTTTCCAGGCTCACCTGGGAGAGGGTTCACAGCATGCAAAGCTCTGGAATGCAGCCCAGTCCCAATCTCTCCCACCAGCATCGTGGCTGCAGATCCCATATCTCCTGTAAAACCCTCTGGAGAACGGCCTGGCCCAGCAGCAGTCACTGCCACGAGCTTTTCCTCAGCATGCACATCAGCCTGTGTGTTCTGTGCTTGCTCCTCTGGGGGACTGAGCAGAGGGAGAGGCTCACAGGGAACAGGGAGCAGAGAAAGGGGCAAACACAGCACAGAGCCCATTTAGGAGGAATCATGACACATAAATCCTGACACAAACAGACACATCTGTACCCTGGCTGCTTGGGGGGGAACAACATTCACAGGCACGAGGGCACTGCACATCATCTGCCCCCAGCCTCGGGCATATGTACAAGTCCAAAGGAAAGCCATGAAAACATGAGGATTCAGCCAAGCCCCGAGCTGGGGAAAGGGGGATCCTGGGGGGAACGACCCCCTGCTCTGGTCAAGCAACAAGACCAAGCCATTGCCCACCCCCTGCCACCTCTGCTCTCCCCCCAAAACACCAAAAACGCAGGTGATCACGAAGGTGGTGATTTCATGCAGCTGCAAAATGCCCTCATGAGGAGGAGGGGAAATGTGGAGATCTGTAAAGAGCCACTGCGGGTTATAAAGCCATCGTACTTCAGTGGGGAAATCTGGGGAAGGGAAAGGGGGATGGGAGGGGGAAGAAATGGCCACAGGACAAGAGCAAGAGAAAGAGGAAGAAAAGGAAATAAAAATCATCATCATCATCATCATCAGGACACAACAACAGGACGAGAGACAGAGCACTTTCCAAGGGCAGTTCCCCGTGGAAAAGGAGCCACTGTGTCCGTGAAATACAAAACCCAGTGCCCTCCAGCTGGAGGGGGCAGCAGGTGCTGGGACTGGTTTGGCATCCCCTTGGGGCGAAGGGTCCAGTTAGGAGCAGAAAACCCTGCAAGGGAAAGGGGAGAAAGGCCAGCCTTAGGGGGAGCAGTGAGGAGCACGGGATCATCCCCACCTGGATTTGCCACAGGGAGGGGTTTACAGAGCCCTTTGCAGCTGGGTGAGGAAGGGAACCTTCATTCCTCTCTCAGGTGCTCTGTGTACAGTGCAGACCCCAAAGCATGCGATGCCTTGGGAGAAAAATTCCCACCACACCTCAGGGATGTTGGGAAACCCAGAGCCAAGCCCTGGGTCAGGCTACTGAGGGCCAGCACAAGGAGCAAGATCCACTCAGCTGCCCATCCTTTATCCTAAATAATCCTTCTGCTCAGCCAGGGAAAATCCCACCACGACAGAGCTGAGCAAATGGCAGGACATGGTAGAGCAGAAACAAACATAGCAAAATGTCAAGACTTTTTACTTCTTCTGGTTGTTTTTACAATAGCAGGAAGAAAAAATCCCTAGATCTTTCCTAACCGGGTATGGAGCAGCCTGGAGACCTCTCCCACCTGCTGCCTGGACACCTGGAGCCAACCAGGTCCATCCCTGGAGCTGGGGGGAGTCACCCCTTCCCACGGCTCTTTCCAGCCTGGAGGAAGGCAGCTGGCAGGGCTGTTTTCCTTGGAAATTCCCTTTGGATAGCATGGTGTCTGAGCACTCAGTGCAGTAACCCAGGAAGCCGGGGGGGTGTGTGGGATTTGTCCTAGTGAGGTGACACCTATTTCAGAGACACTATTTCAGAGACACCTATTTCAGGTGACTCCTATTTCAGAGCGCCAAAATCCATGCCTTTCTCGGGACCAGGGAGGTTAAGGAAGTTAAATCTTCCTTCCCCATCCCTTCCCAATCCTCGGGAGACCATTGCAGGGGTTAAAATAAACATGTCAACTCACTCATCCGTGTCTTTTTTGCTCTCCTCGATGAACGCGATGGACTCGGATCTAAGGCGGTTCGTCACTTCGTACGTACGCAGGGTGACTCCAAAAATATCCTCGTGGTACCGGCTGTCATCCTGAGGGACAGGGTGGCAGAGGGGGAAAAGGAGCATTTGCAAACAGCTGGTGTTGTTGTGGCTCTGGTGTGGCGGGGAGGTGCCAAACACACGGCGAAGGGCCTGGGGTCTGTCACGGGAGCGGGTGGGATGGCAGGGCAGAGGGGCAGGAGGGAGCAGGGAGGGGAAAGGACCTTGCCAAGGTCACAGTGTGGGGCAGCCCAGGAGCTGCTCCCTGTGTTAGATGTCCTCAGCTGCTGGCAGCCCAGGGACTGCCTGGTGTCAGGGGGACAAGCAGCCCAAAGCCAGCTCATGTACAACCAACTCTGGGCTCCCTCAGCTCCTGGGTGGAGTGTGGGGACGTGGTTCAGAAGGGGTCATCCCACAGGAATCAGGCTGGATTATCTTCCTGAGCATCCATCCCTGGGCCTGTGTCCCAAACTGAGTTCATCTGGGCTCCAGCTGCAACATCTGGGCAATGTGTTTGCCCAGGGACATCACCCTGCCAGCCACAGAGATGGGGAGATCTGGACAGGGGGCCCCACAAACTGCCCTGGTGGATGGGTGGGATGGAGGGACTTAGCACGGTGGTCTGTGACAGAGGGACTTAGAAGCAATCCTTGTTTGAAGGAGGGACTGATCAAGGTGAACAAGCCCTGCCTGGGCTACCAAGGGTGCCCACCAGGTTCTGTCCCAGTGCCCAGCAGAGCAGCAGCTCATCCCAGGAGCCCAGCGTGGGCTGAGGGGGCTGCAGGGCTCCTGCAGAGCAAAGAGACTTCCCCGGTGCACCCGAATTTCTGGGAGATCACCCTCCTGACCTCACCCAGACCTCGACAGCGGGGGCAGGACCACAACCTCCCCCCCAGTGCCCGTCACCTCGCGCTGCCCGCACGGCAGGAGCAGGCAGGAGCAGGCAGCAGCTGCAGTGCCCGTGGCAGGGGCCGTGTGGGGTCTCACACACCGCTCACCCTCAGCTTGCTGATGAAGGCGCCCGCCTCCTCCACCGACAGCTGGCCCTGCTGCCTCACGATGCGCTGGACGGTCTTGAGGACGTCCCCGGCCATGGTGACATCCCCGCAGACGTAGATGTGGCCTCCCTGCTCCTTCAGCGCTCTGAACACCGTCTGGGCCAGCTGCTCCTGCAACACGTCCTGCACGTATTTCTGAGGGAGGAGGAGGAGGGAGATGGGATTGACTCCAGTTTTTCAGCCCTACCCACCCGTGGGCTCTGTGTGCACCAGCTGCCCTTGAGGCAGCAGTGCAAGGTGACACCTCTTTGGGGGAACGAGCCTGAGCCTCGCAGCACCCACAGGGACAGAAAAGAGGTGGGGAAGGTGGCAGAGCATCGTCCTGCTCTTGCACGTTCACACCTTCACCATGTCTTTCCTGGCCAGGCCTGCTCAGGTGCCTGTGGGTATTCGGAGCAGGCTTTGCGCTGGCTCTGGGTGCTGTCACCCACCAGGTGACATCCCTCCTTGCCCACCTGCTTGAGAAGATGGCCCTTTCCCCTCCCTCATCTGCTCCCACCCGGGGAGGATGGCTGCAGCCCCCCAGGGCAAAGCATGAGCAGCGTGGGCACACACTGGGGTGGTGCAGGGATGGGGGTGTGCCCTGGGAATGGGGCTGCACCGGGAAGGGATGATCCCGCACACTCATGGCGTGAGCTACCGGGGCCGTGCCAAGGGACGGGCACCTCCACCATGTGCTGGCTGGCCATGGCCACCCAGGGCTGCCCGGCAGCACCACAGCAGTGCCCACCACACACCTTTGGTTTGTCTGGCTCCCGGGAGTAGGCTGTGTACAGCTCTCTGAAGACACCTTGGGTTTTGGCAAAGAGCGTCTCCTCCTTGTAGATGTGGTCGATCCTGGACTGCCGGCAGCCAAACACCAGGACCATGGGACAAGGCTTCAGCCCTGGGTGAGGATTGGAAGCAGGTGACCCAGGGATCACCGATCCCCAGTTTCTGGAAGCCACCTCCCTCCAGACCTGCCAGCAGATCCGCTGGGACATCCCAGGCAGCAGACTGGACCCCTCCATCCCTCTGCCACCAGCCCAGGGTTCCCAAGCAGCGCCTGAGATGAGGTTCAGGAGGAACCAGCGTTGACCCACCTTTGTGCTGGATCTCAAAAAGCCGCTGCTGCCAGAAGCTGCGGAAAGGGGCGATGCCGGTGCCGGGGCCGATGAGGATGCAGGGCACCTGGGGGTCCTGGGGCAGGTGGAACCCGGGGGCACTGCACACACCAAAGACACCGGTTCAACCCAAGCTCCCTCCCTCGCCTCTGCCCACAGCCAGCTGAGACAGTACCCGGGCAGGGAGGTGAAATCCCAGAGAGCAACATTTTAGCGCAGAACTGCACCTGAGGGTTTTTGCTCACAAATCCAGCCTTGTTTTCTCCCACCACGAGAAGAATTGAGGACAGAGATCCCATCCTGCGAGGGGGTTCACCCAATCTTTCTCACCCCTTGTGGAACACTTACCCCCTTACAAAGCAGGGCACCACTTCATCGGGCTGTATCCGATTGAGCCAAGAGGAGCAGACTCCGTGGTGGATTGGCCCTTCTCCATCTGGGAGGGGAGGGAAGGAGGTCTGTACCTGACACACCAGCCAACAACTCCAGTTGTCTTCTTTCCTAAAACCCTCCCTGCTACATCCCACATGAACACCTCACTGAAACAGTCGGTGTCTCTGCACCCATTCCCCGTGAACTTGGTAGAACTGGCACTCGGGTCCCTCCGTGGAGCTGCCCAAGTTCACCCAGAACCCGGGAGAGTTGGGCCTCCACAATACTTAGGAAGAACCCGACTCTTCTTTAGTCCTTTTTGGCAGGAGCAGCATCATGCTGTGGTGCTCCCAGGCACCAGCCCTCCATGGCAGCCCGAGATGGATTTCCCTGTGTCCCACCTGCTGTCTTCCCTGTGTCCCACTGGCTGCAGGAGCACCAGGGCCCTGCCCATCCACACCATCACCAGGGCTGCTTGGGCAGGTACAGAAATTTTCCTAGGAGCAATGTGGACTTTGGGGTGGGCAAACAGGGCCCTAAACAGAGCTTGGATTATACACCTCACCCAGACATGGCACCTCTGGAATAAGATGACGTTTTATGGATGGTTGTTCTCCATAACATGGCACAGCCATGCCATGAGCTGAGGGAATCTGGTCACTCCAACAGGTAGAAAGGCTTTAAACACCATCTCTCTGCCAAAGGTTTTGTGGTGTTGCCCATGTGTCCAGTTCTGGGCCCCTCAGCTCAGGAAGGATATTGAGGAGCTGGAGCAGGTCCAGAGAAGAGCAACGAGGCTGGGGAAGGGACTGGAGCACAAGTGCTGTGAGGAGAGGCTGAGGGAGCTGGGAGGGCTCAGCCTGGAGAGGAGGAGGCTCAGGGGAGACCTCCTCACTCTCTACAACTCCCTGACAGGAGGGGGGAGCCAGGGGGAGTTGGGCTCTTCTCCCATCAGCAAGACAAGAGGGTTGGGTCTTAAGCTGTGCCGGGGGAGGTTTAGGTTGGATATTAGGAAGAAATTCTTTCCAGAGAGGGTGATCAGTCATTGGAACAGGCTGCCCAGGGAAGTGGTGGATTCTCCATCTCTGGAGGTGTTTAAGGTGAGATTGGATGTGGCATCAGTGCCATGGGCTGGGAACCACGGTGGGGTTGGATCAAGGGTTGGACTTGATGATCTCGGAGGCCCCTTCCAACCCAGCTGATTCTGTGATTCTCTGATGTGCTGATGCTTTGCCCCTGCTCCCCCAGCCCGGTACCTCTGGTGCGGTAGGAGACCACGGCTACGGTGAGATGGACCTCGCCCGGGTACAGCTCTGGGGAGGAGCTGATGGAGTAGTAGCGTGGCTGGAGGAGGGGGAGCTGTGTGAGCAGCAGCGTGGAGGGCATCTGCACCGAGGGGAACTCCTCCAGCACCTCCACGATGGTGGGGTTCTTGGACCACTTCCACTCCTCGTACTCCTGCAGGCCCTGGAGAGAGGGAGGGAGGGAGGGAGGAGAGAGCTGCAGCATCCACCTCTTCCAAGCCAGGTGCCTCCACTGATATCCCACCAGGCCCGTAGCAAAGGGTGGGTGGCAGCCCTGCTGCCATGGGTGGAGACTCAACCTCACCAAACAGCGTGGGATGAAAACGCTCAGGGCCTTGGAGAACGTGGGGCTTGGGGTCCTTACCTTGCTAAGGACCTGCAGACGTTTCTTCTCCGTCTCACTGGTGGCCAACAAAGCAAACTGCTGCAGCAGCAGGGGCGTGGGAGGGGTGGTGATGTCCAAATAGTACTTAAAAGCCTGGAAGATGGTGCACGGTGGGACACGGTTCTCGTCTGTCCAGTTGCTGATGACACCTGCCAGGAGGGAATGCAGCACAAGCACGGGATCAGCACAAGAGCCAAGGTGGGCAAATCTCTGCTTTCATCCCCCATGTCAGCTCTGAGACAGTGGATTACTGTGTTCCAGCTCTGGTTACACTGTGCATGGCTGTGTCAGACTTATCCCTGAAATACAGAGTTGGGGTGGTCCATCAACACCCCCTAACTCTTCTTTCCAGTCCTAGGCATTGCTCTTTCTATGAAAATATAAACACCTTCAATTTTCCCAAGGAATAAGGAAATATCTTCCCCAGGGCCCTGCTCACCCTTCGGACCCTTTCCCTACATCCCAAGTGCAGAGGAGCCACAGCTCTGGGCAGAGGAAGGTTGAAGGAGGTGCTCCCAATCTAGGAAAACACAGCAGCGAGACGGGAAATGATTTCTCCTGGGGGCCACCCAGCACCCTGAGGAGCTGCTGCAGGAGCTGGGCGAGGAGGAGAGAGGCCACCCGTGCAGGAGGTGTGGCCCTGGTTACCTAGAGCCGTGCTCCTCTCCTCCAGCAGCTCCACCTTCACCAGCTGGTTGGCCGGAGGGGCATCCTCAAGCCTGTCGATCAGGGCGTTGACCAAGTCCTCGTGGTTCCCGGGAAACACCCCCAGGTGGTCCCCGGGCAGGTACTGCAGCCCCTGGTGCCCGTCGGTGTGCAGGCGCAGGAAGATCGTCAGGCGGCTGCAGGGAAAGCAGGATGTGTTTTTGGGGGAGTCACCGAGCTCTGGCCTCGAGAGCTGCTGGGCGTGCTGGGCACTGGTGGCACGGCCAAGCCGCGGTGCCCCCTGAGCGTGTCCCCAAGATCGCAGCAGGGAGAGGGGACGCTGCATCCCCCGCCTCCCCCCCCCCTCCCCGCGCCGCTGACTCACCCTCGGGGGCTTTTCAAAAAGGGAAAAAACAGTTTAACCTCTTGTTTCAGCAATTCGATCGTTTCTTTGGCTTCCCATCCCCCGGGGCTAATTGAGGCAGCAGCAGCAGAGATCTCGCCGGGCACAGAGGCGGGGAACACCCCTCCCTGGCTTCACGTGGCTTCCAGCATTACTCAGGGTTTGCACAGAGGTGGATTCCATGGGGCGTTCAGGGGTCAAGGGCAGCAGCACTGCGTGCACGGGTGCTTGGGTGCACCACCAGGGTGTCCAGCTCCCAGGAGAGCTGCACTTCCTACCTGGACTTGGGGCTCTGCAGGTTCTGGCGTGTGATCAGCCGGGCTGCATAGACACGTTTTTTGTGGATGCTGTACAGTCCTGAGGAGGAGAAGTGTCAGGGAAGGAATTCAGCAGAGGCTTCCGGCTCTTGCAGGGCTGTTGGTCACTGCTGAGGGCTCAGCCCTTCGGACCAGAGCTGGACACAGCCAGAGGACCATGGGCTCACCACCCTCCTGCTTGACCCCCCTCCTGCACAGCTCCAGCGAGCCTGGGGGATCAGAAACCCCAGGGCCAAGCAAACACGTGTCCCTTTTGTCAGTGACCCAGGAGGACTCTGAAACCACCCGTATGAGACGCAGGGATGTGCCCTCACGTGCCCACAGGCACCTCTCGCTGCCAGGGCCACCTGGCTGGCAGGGAAGAGCCTGGATTTGGGAAGAGCTGAGGAGCCAGTGCGGCAGATCCTCAGCTGCAGGAGCCGTGCTGAGGGGCCAGGTGTCGCTGGGCTGGACCTGCCGTGGAGCGGCATTGGACGGAGAGAGCTTGGAAAGATCCCAGGTTTCCAGCTCCCTGGTTCAAAAAATGGGGTCAGGAGGAGGGAGATCAGATCATCTCCAAACATCTCTGTTACGGACACAGACAGGGACCAGCCAGAGGGGCCTGAGACCATCACAAGCTGCTCCCTGGGCATGTGATGGCAGTGAAAGGCAGGGCCGAAACGCTGGGAATTTAACATGGAACAAGCAAGGAGGTTTGGCCCCTTCACCTGCAGTAAAACCCACTGTGTCTCCTCCACCTGCCCCACCAGGTGACCCCATCTTCATACCTTGTGTGAGCTCTGGGGCCTCGGCCACGTAGGTCAGCCGAAACTTGCTCCTCTTCCAGCTGCGGTCGTTGCTGATGAGGGAGTTGTTTGCTTTCTCGATGTTGACGTCGTCCCCCACGCAGAACACGTCACATGCTGCCTGCAGCACACACCAGGCTCTCAGGCATCCCCCCCTGCCCCTGGGGAGCCCCCTTGTCCCAGCCCACCCCTGCCAACCGAGGAGAAGGAGCCTCCACCATGCAGGGCTACACCAGTGGCCACGGGCGTGCCTCGTGGTGCCCTTCCTCCTTCCCCAAACATCTGGGATAACACAGGAATTCAACCCAGTGCTCACCCCTCGGTGTGCAGCACAAACCAGAGCATCATCTCCACCAAAATATGGAGCATCCCGGGCTGGGGTGGTGCCAGAGTGTCCCAGAGCAGGGAAGGAGAGGCTGGGTTTTGATCCAGCTCTAACCAGCAGTTGTGCTCTGTCCCTCAGTCCTTCTCCGCCCTGCTCCTCCCTGGAGCACCAGGGAAGTGGGTTTACCTTGAAGACCTTCTTGGCCCAGGTCCTGAAGGACTCCTCCTGGCCGCAGAGCTCGTCCCCCTCTCCCATGCGGAGGATCCTCTCCCCGCCCAGCTCCTCCAGGAGCGTGTCCACGGCCCGGGCGAAGGCGCAGAAGTGGGGGTAGGCACGTGAGCCCAGCCCAAACACGGAGAACCTGCAGAGAGGTGGCTCAGCTGTGGCTGCCCAGCTGGGAGGGACACTGGCACCCCCCTCTCCTGCCCCACCATCCCCCAGGGCACCTGGAGGGGTCTGCACATGGCCAAAATACACCATGTGTGGGGTAAGAGCTGCAGGGGGCAGACGGGCTCTGTGCAGCACCGGCTCCTGCTCTGTCCCTCCTGCAGCAGGAACTCCTGCCTCCCGCCCCGTCCCCTTTACCTGACGTTAGCCAGAGGCCCCGTGCTCTCAAAGTTGTCCCTGGAATCAGGGCCATCGCTGGAGGATTTCCGAGCGTCCGAGTAAGAGGAGACACTGTTGAAACGGACCTTGTAGCTCCTGTGAACAGCAACAACAGCCAGTGTTCCGGAGGTGACACCTGGGGGGGGTCCTCCCCGGGGACCAAATTGTGCAGGAGACCCAGACAGAGCTCAGGGTTCAAATATTCCATGTGCTCCTCCCAGGGTTAGGCCACCCACGGTCAGCTCCATGAGGTCCTTGGCCACCCCATTGTCCCCAGTGGTGCAGAGCTGACAGGACCTTTGGCACCACCTGTCCTTCCCTGGCAGCACACAAGGTTGGGTGTATGTCTGAACAGATATTCTGAGGGTTTATTTTTCATTCATAGGAAGTGGAAAATAAATTTAAGAAGAAAAAAAAGGAGCAAGAGAAGAAGGGATGAGGAGGGGGAAGGGGAGAGGAGAAAAAAAAAATCTGACAACAGCAGAAGTATTTCTGAATCGAACCATCTTCAAAAATTGCTCTCCACAAGGGTTTCTAAATATACTGGCAGAGCAGCGAGGCTGTGGTGTGTGCATGAGTCACGGCAGACCTCCTGCACCCGGCACGGCATCACAGAGACAACCCTGGAGAGAAACCACTGCCAGGGTCACAGAGCCCTGGGCTCCAGGTCTGCTCCACAGCCTCCTCCTTCCTTCCCTCCCAGATTTCCACGCTTTCCTGCTTCTCTCCACCTGCTTCAGTCCACTTGTTTCTCTGCTGTGCCCGTGTCCTCCCCCCGGGTCACCCCAGGTTGTGTGGGGAGGGCAGGGCAGCACAACCCACGGGGTTAGGTGGGCACAAAGCCCAGATTCCCCAGGGGGGTGCTGGGTCCGAGGTTGGGGCACCAGCAGCTTTTGCTGCAATGGGAAGGTCCCTGTGGTGGGAAATGACTGCTGAAGGACGGGCTGCATTGAGCAGCAGGTCCTTAAATAGGAATGGTTGATGAATGCCTCGGAAAACCCTTGGAAAACCCTTGCTGGAAGACATGAGGAATCAAATCTACAACCACAGTACTGTGGTCAGGGCTGTGATCGGAGAGCTACAGCCACAGTACCCTGGCAGGCTCCTCCAGACACTGGGATTTAGAGAGGCCACCCCACCCTGAGGGGTCTCAGCCACCCTCAGCATTCCCTGTTGGACATGGAGCTGGGAGTTCATGGGGTGAGCGGGCAGGAACTGCTCTCTCCAGTTCTATTCTACAGACCCCAGGCTGACACTGTCCCTCTTCCCCAGACAGTCTCCTCCAGGTCTCCTTTTCTCACTGCAAAAGCTTTTTTCCATGTTTAATATCAGCAAAGTCCTGGACATGGATTGGGGCAATCCCAAGCATACAGGTTGCCCAGAGAAGCTGTGGCTTCTGGGAGTGTCCAAGGCCAGGTTGGACGGGGCTTGGAGCAACCTGGGCTAGTGGGAGGTGTCCCTGCCCATGGCAGGGGGTGGCACTGGATGAGCTTTAAGGTCCCTTCCAACCCAAATCATTCCATGATTCTGTGATCTCTTCCTGCCATCCAGAGCTGTGACCACTTGGCCTGTCTTGCAGGGAGCACAGGCAGCAATTTATTCCCTCCACCTCTGCAGCCACCTTTTCCATCTATGAAATCTGCCACCTCACTCCATTTCTGTCTCCTTTCCTCCAGATAAAATAGCTCTCACCCTTTTGATGGTCGCTGTTTCCAGCACTCTGCCCACTTTTGCTGTCAGGTAACGGAGCCACAGGCTCTCCTGGCTCTTAGAAACTCCTGCCAGCCCTGGAATTACACTTAGAGGTGACTGGGACAGCGAGCCCTGAGCTTTTTATAAACTGAGGGTTTTATCCTCCTCAAATCTACCTGGCTCGTCACGGGCGGCACCGCTGCACCCAACCCCATGTTGCACCCCAAGAAGTGAAGATCCTCGGGGTGAGAACCACATGTGAAATGGTGCAGACACCTCCAAGGCATCCCTGCTTTGTCAGCTGTCCCCATTAAGGCACGAGGCCATCAGGAACCGGGTGGGTTTTCAGCAGCCCTGCGTGGATGCCTCGGAGGACTTGGCTGCTCAGCAAGGGGACAACTTTGGGGCTGCGGCGTGGCCAGCACTGGAGAGCCACAAATTGGTGTTTGTCACCACCCTGCAGCCCCACCCACACTGGCAGAAAGGCAGGGCAGGGAAATCCCCCTGCACCCCCCTGACAGGGGCTAATTCACCCGTAATTAAGGAGCAGCCTTTTGCCAGTTGTTGGCTGGGCAGACATTCCAGAGCAGAGCAGTGTCCCAGTTCAGTGGAATATATTCTTCTTCGTAGCTAAAATCAGAGGAGACTCAAGTGATTATTAACACTTTGTCTGCCCTCCCTTCCCAGCCTCTGGAATGTTGCAAGGCTCATCTCCCAGCGATGGGGGATTTTCTACAACCCCAGATTCCGTCTCCAAGGCACCAGTTCCAGACTCGCTGTTACAAACATCGCAGGGTTTATAACAGCTCTTATTTTTCCCTAGAAATATTTTCACACGATGCATGAAGTTAAATTTGGTTCCCAAGCCCTCCCTCCACCTACATCCACATAGCAGGGAACTCCCTTCTACCTCCAGCTTCTACTATTTTTGTGTCTCCTGGACAGCCCCAGCTCTCAGATTTGATGATTTGGGGGGAGTTCCTACTTTTATTTGGTTTTTTTTTCATAGATTCCTGACTCTTAAATCTGAACAAAGTAGCTTTGAAATGGAACTACAGGCTGGAGTCCACAGGCCCAGTGTGTTTGTCCTCCCTGGGACCTCCACTCTCTCCATTCCCTGCTTCTCCAGGCAGGTCCCATCCCTTGGATCTTTGAAAACTCCTGCATGAGGATTTCCCACTCCCTTCTGGGAGGATGAAGGCTGAGAAGCAGGGTATCCTGGCTGGGGGGGCTGCTGGGGTTTGGAGTGGGGAGGGAGGGGTTTGGAGTGCTCTTACTTCCTCTCCTCCAGGTGGGAGTTGGGATTCTTCATCTCCATCAACGCGCAGCCAAATTTCTGCAGAAAGGGAATAAAAAAGGCCGTCAGTTTTGCCGGTCTCTGCAGGAAATGAAGCTGTGGTCAGTGGCTATGAGTGGGAATAAGCAGATATCCCTATTTCTGAGCAGGCTGGATTCAGGCAGGTCCAGCACCACGTGTCACACAACGCCCAGACCTGTCCTGGGCCATTCCAGCCCAGGCTGGGCGAAAAGAAGATGTTCTTCCCCATGTCCCAGTGCCTGTCCCCTGCTGCAGCCCCCACCCCTGTGCTCTGTCCTACCTCTCCGTTCTCGGGGGGGTCCCCGTTGCCGAAGGTGCTGGTGACCACCAGGACCATGGTTTCGTGCTCCAGGTGCACGACGTCGTACTCGTCCATGGACATCACCTGGGAGGGGACAGAGAGGGCAGCAGAAGATGGGGAGATCCACCACCAGCCAGTCTGCTGGGATGGACCCCATTCCACCCAGAGATGGGACAGGTCCCTGCTGACTCCATGCCGGTGCTCTGGCAGAGATCTCCCCACAGGGAGGATGAAGACAAGAGCCTCGAGGGCCGTGGACAACCACAGAGCTGCCATTCAAGAGGCTGTAGGAATATGTGTGCCACAATAGCTGGAAAAATTCCTGTGCAGGTGTCAACCCAGACCCCGTGTCCTGGTTAGAACAGCTGGGACCACTTCATCACTGTATGGGTGTAACCCAAAACTGTGTATTCTAGAGCCTTCCATGCCATTTCCCAGAAACTGTTATCAATGAACCATTTACACCCTCTGCCCAGAGCAGCCCTGACTCCTCAGGCTGTAAACTGGGTGTTAAGAGGCCTGTGAGAGGAGGGTGCTCCTGTCCTCACACCCACTGTGGAACTCCTGAGGTAGGTACTGGGCATTCCTGCCTGAACTGGAGGATAGATAATCTTGGAGTCTTGGGACTTTTTTAACCACTTGTGGGATCCAGAGGAAGACTGCAGACCACCACTCTGGACTGGACTGCAACCACCACTCTTGACCACACTGCACCACCACTCTCACCAACAGGTTTTCCCCTCTCCTTTTACTTTGGACTCAGGGGGGGCCCAACAAACACCACTCTGTTCATGCCCCAGGGTGCTGAGTTATACATTTGGGTTTTGTGGGTTAAAACCAACTGTTTTTGTGTGTAATCGTACTTATTGTATTATTTTATTAAATTGTTATTCTGATTTATAATCTCTCTTTTGAGTTGAGTTCATTTCCCCTGCTGGTTTACCTTTAAACCAGCACACCCTGGGAGCTGCTGGAGTCCCTTGGCAGCCAGGAAGCTCCACAGGCATCGAACCACGTGTTTTCCAACATTCATATATATTTCCTTGGCCCACCCATAATTCTGTGCCCACACCCTTGCAGGAGTCAGGAGCTGGGGCAATACCTTGGCATCGAAAGCGTGTTTGAAGATTTCACACAGAGTTTTTGCATAGACCTGGGACTTCCCCGTCTCCGTGGCGTACAGGATGGTGGCCTTGACCCTCTTGGCCATGGCCTGTCCCATCAGCTTGGCTGAGAACTTCACAGCCCTAGGAAGCAAGAGGGGAATCCCAGTAAGAGAGTTTGCTGTCAGTGCCTCTAGCCCAGACCTTTTTATTCGTTATTAAATGAACTGTCTGCCTTTAAAAGTTGCAGCGTCACTTCTTTTGTGAAGCTGTGGAAGAGCACGTTCATCTTGACTTGTCAGAGGGGAAGAGTGGATGGGGGAGCTTGAGCATGGAGCTGAAATAAATACCTGAATGGGTGTAAGGAGGAAAATGCTAACTCGTGGGGGGGGGGGGGGGGGGTATTTCTGTAGGGGCAGAGAAGCAGAAGAATTGGGGGTAGAAGTCACTGAAAGCACTGGCCAGGTAATGTCACAGGAAAAGCTAGAGACCAGCCAGAGCTGAAGCTACAGGAGGAACAGGAGCTTCTCCATCCCTTTAAACCCAACCTGGCTGCCTTTCTGCAGGAGGTGTCTCAGCCAACCTCACACACCCACAGCCCTGAGACGCTGAGGAGGTCAGACAAAGCTGTCTGCACCCCCTCTCATCTGCACTCCGGTGACTCTGTGACCTTTCCCGGCAGGGAAGTTCCTCCCAGGGCCCAGAGGTTGCCCATTTCTCTGAGCTGTTTCCAGCTGCCTCCCGTGGCTGCTGTTGTGACTGGCTGTGTGTCCTCCAGTTCTCCCCACAGGCTCAGTTCTGGCAGAGGGGCCCGAGAGGTCACCAGCCTCTCCAATCCTGGCCAGGGTGCTGCAGCACTGGGAATGCTGGCTGCTTGTCTGTGGCATCCGTGGGAGCACCGTGACAGGGCACAGGGGAGACACGAACCAGTTCTGGGGCACTGAGCCTGCTGTGGCCAGTTTGTCATGTCAGGGCCATTCATAATCACATCAACACTGTTTCTCCTAAGTGCAGAGTATCTTCACCTTTTCTAAGTGGACCACCAAGCCTTTAAAATCCAGAGGTCTGGATTTAGCCTGATGCTGCAACAGGGAAAGGGCAGTTTTTGGGAGGCTGAGAGAGCACAAAGCAGCTCTGTGGCCTTTGCAAGAATAAGGGCTGCTTGATTCCCTTTGACAGGGGGATCAGACCCTGCCCCAGGTTCTCCAGTTCAGCAGGACCCCTGCATCCCCTTCAGATGAGCTGTCGGGAATGGACACTGCAGCTGGGCTGGTCCCACTGCTGGGAGAAGTCCAGCTTCCCACTGCCAAGGAGGGAAGAAATGCTCTGGGAGAATCACTTAGGGGGAAAAAAAAGGGAGGAAAGAAGAGGTAGAAACCTCACCAGGATGGTTCATCCTGCCTCCCCTGGGCAGCTCCTCTCCATGTCAGTCAGCCTTGGGAACATTTCTGTTTGCTGCTCTGTGACCACTCCTTTGCTTTCCCGTGGGGGAAATGTCCCTCCCCAGGACTTGCACAGTCCCCAGAGGAGGGAAGGGGCAGGACAGGCAGGGAGTGCAGGTTTGAAGGCACAGATTTGGCCAGAACCAGCACAGCCTGTCTGAGCAGGCACAAACCCCCCCTGTGACCAGTGCCAAGCGCAGCACTCGGGGCTGCTGGGCTGGGTCTGCCCCTCGTTCAGCTCATCAGCTCAGACTAATGGGGACTTACACAAACAATTCCTTTTCCCTCCATCGGGAACAATGGAGATTTTTTTTCTTTCTTTTTTTTTTTTTTTTTTAAATTACCTGCCACGCTCACGTTTTTCTCAAGCCATCCCTCACCCGGGCACACACCGACACAGGCATTGTTTCTCCTCCCTCAATGGCCCAATTAATCTCCCCTGTGCTCTCCCCAGCCTGGGCTCAGGCTCCGGTGTCAGCTGAAGGAGCACATTCATCAGCTGCTGATCATGTTTATGGATGCAGCTCGCAGGAGGTGACAGCTGAAGAGTGGGAACAAACCGATGGGAGGGGCTGGTGGAAGCTGAAGCGTGGGGAGATGCCGTGAGGAGCCAGGGCCACCTGGCAGCCTGGCCACCAACCCGGGGCACACCCAGCCCTCCCCAGCCTTGGCCAGCAGCTCCTACTGGAGCTTCTACCTCCCTGCCAACGGCCCATGGGGGAGGCATTTGGGCCAGGATCAGCCTAAAGGTCCAAATTACACTTCATTCCTCTGCCCCTGCTGACTTGGAGCTTTGGCAGGGGAGAGGGACTCGTGTGGCCCTTTTCCAGGGGTCAAGTGACCATGAAGTGCAAATCTCAGCTCAGCCCTGCTCCATCTGCTGCCTGGAGGGAGATTCCTCCTTCCTGTCTCCCCCCCTCCTTGCAAGGAGGGTGTTTGGAGGGTTAGACACTCACTGGAGACCTCAAGGAGGTAAAGAATCACTGAGAAAAAGAGAAATATGGACACGAGTTTCAGGTCACTTGTGCCAGCACAGCCCTGGACAGTGAGGGGAGGTGTCCCTGCCCCAAGGAGGCTGTGAAAGGATAACCAGGCAATACACCCCAAAAAAGTGGGAAAGCCATCCCTGAGCATCTCCTACTGGAGAATGAACAGCTTGGGAGAACAGACTACGTGCAACATCTGCTATTCACCCGCTCCCACACCTTTTGGTGGCCTAATGGGGTCTTCAAAGACTGTCTGTCTGTCCACCCACACCTTCTGGTGGTCTAATGGGGTCTTCAAACACTGTCTGTCTGTCCAAATGTCCCTCGTGGTAAAGCCTCCAGAGGTCCAGCCTCACACCCCTCCCTCACAGGGCAACTCCGTCAGTCAGAGCTGCCCAAAACCAGGACCAGCCCCAAACACTCCAGGGTTCTCCAGAGCCTGCTGGTACTTACTTTGCTAACTTCTTAAATCCAATGGCCCTCTTCTTGGTGGGTGTCCCATTGACCCCTTTCCAGACGTGGGTGTTCCAGGGGTCCGGCTGCAGAGAGAAGGGCAGCAGTGCTCAGAGCTTTGGGAATGCTTCCATATATTAGACATTTCCTGCTTCGAGGGAGGGGGGACCCATGGCTTGATTTGGGAGGGGAAGGAGCAGTGTCACCCCCAGGGAACCATCCAGAGGGAGCTGAGGGGTGGGAGGGGGGTGAGGGGACACTCAGAGCCCTCCCAGCTCCTCAGGGGGGGCTGGAAAAGCCCTTTTTTTTACCTGCACATTAAGTACAGCCTCGAATTTGCACTCCTCGAGCCCTTCTGGGAGCTTTGGGAAGGGCTGCCATGGGAAGGAGACCCTCTCTGAAGGGCTGGGGGCTCACCCACGGCTCTGCTGAACCAGGGGACAAAACCAGGGAGAGGCAGGAGAGAGGGGAAAGGAGCCAACACTGTTTTCCACCTGCTCCAGGCGCACTGAGCACCAAATCCCAGGGCTCCAGGGGGATCAGCAGCACCCCGGGTTGAATTCCTCGAGCCATGAAGGGGAGGAGCAGCTGGACTCCTCCTCACAGCTCTCCCTCATCCTTGGAGCCACTGGGGGGTATTTTCTGGGCAGTTGGGCAACAGAGTATGCACAGAAAAATAATAAAATATAATAAACCTTGCTGGCTTGTAACAGCATCTGGCCAACTGCTTTCTCACCTCTTGAGATGCTCCTTAACAGCCCAGAGGCGAAAAGAAGGCAGGCAACGCCAGAAGGGGAGAGTGATGGAAACACATCCTTCGCCCTCCCCAGCCCACTGTTTGTTTGGGTTTTTTTTCCCTAAGAGGTCCTTTGGGAAGGGGAGGCAGCAGAAGCCAGGAACAAGCACACAGAAGCTAATTCCGTGCCCTCACAGGCTGCAATCAGGGCCAGGAAGCATCGGGGTTCCTGGTGGGTTGGTTATAGAAATGAACAGACTGCTCCAGGTTTGTGATTGTTCCTTAAGGGCTCTTGACTAAAGGTCACATTGTGTGGAAACCTCCGGAGCAGGGATGGTTGGATAACGAGGGAGTGTCTGCTTGGGGGCTTTTTCCCCCCCATGGTCTGAAGTGTTAAATACTCCAGCAGCAGCATTTCAGCCTCCTGCCGGTCCCGCTGGGCAGGAGCCCCCCCCGTCAGCCTGTTGGATCCCCAGGCTGGCTGGAGCCATCCACTCAGCCCTGCAGGCTGCAGAGGGGAGGGATGCAGTCCTTTTCCAGGTCATTCCCTCACTCGCCAGAGTGCAAAATTAGGCTCTTCCAAAGGCAGGAGCTCTGCTTGATCCAAAAGTGGGGGGGAGTCAAAAAGTTGGGTGCCCACAGAGGGGCAAAAAGCCATTGCCCTGAGACAAGGGGTGACATCCAGGGGTTATTACAGGACATTAGGGTATCAATTAGACTTGTCATGGACCCGAGGGACAGCTTGCTGAAGGGATTAGATGGTGTTCCTGCCCTTCCTGCATCTTCTGAGCTCCAGCTCCCACCCTGCTCTTGGCCCCACCTCTGGGCACCGGTGGGAGGTGAAGGTGAGGACAGTACCTGGTACTCAAAGGAGGGGGTGAGGCGGTAGTTGAGCATTTCCTGGTGGAAAACTGGGGTGATGCTGCCAGACATGGGCGGGACAATCCACACCCAGTCGGCAGGACAACCCCCACGGCACCGGTACTCGTTCTCCATGTGCTTGATGAAGGACTCCGTGGCCGAGTGGTGATCCACGATGGTCACCTTGTCACTCTGTTGGGGGAGGAGAGAGCAGAGCCCACAGCTGTTACTACACTCCAGAAGGCAAGAGCCAAGATTTTGGAGCTGTCCCAAATATTCCTCACTCCCATGGCCTTACGGGACCTTTGGAGATGACCCAGGCTGGCTGCTCTTCCCAAGGAAGCTGTAAAGCTGCCCCAGTCCTTCCTGGATAGATGTGCTATGGGATCACTGCTCCTGTGATTTGTCATGGGCCAGGCAAAGACTGAGATGGCATGAAGAGGATGGAGCATCCTCTGCTTGTCCCCTTGGAGAGCTTTTTCGTGGCTTGTACAGCTCCATGGGGCAGCTCTGATCCAGCTCTGGGAAGGGCTCCCACCCTCTGAACTTGGATTGCCAAGCACTAGTTCAGCTAATGAACCTTTAAGTGCTGGCAGGGGGAGAACCTGGGTCAATTCTTGCCTCCTGGATGCGACAGAAGGGCTGGATCTTGCTCCCTAGGGATATTCCCTCTGGACCAGCAGAACTCAGGTGCTGGTAGTGCTGTCTCTACAACGTCCAGGGCACAGAGATTATAAATTTTACTGCAGAACAGCCCCAAATTAGGGTGGCACAGCCCAATTTCAGCAGAGTGCTGCATTCTCCTCGGATTGATGTCTCCATCCCGCTCCCCGTGTCCCTCAAGCCTGGCCCGAGCACAGTCCTGCTCCCGAGGTACCTGGAAGCTGTACAGCACAGCAATGTTGATCTCCACCAGGGCCTGGTCCTTCCACAGCGAGGAGGTTTTCCTCATGTCCAGATTCATTTTCTTGGCCACTTGCTGTAACAACACGGCAGAAAGTGAGGGCTTTCTATGGCCAAAGGACCAAGGACTGGAGATCTCTGCCTGGGGAGAGGAGCCCAGAGGAGGGACCCAGGCACCCTCAGGGCAGGGAAGGGCTGATGTTTTGCATTTCCCTGAGAAGCTGTGGTCCTGCCTTTTGCTCTCCATGGCAGGAGCACAGCCTTCCTTCCCCCCTGAGCAGAGGGAGGTGACCAAACACTGCTCAAAGGGCCATTGAGAGCAGTTGCACACACACACACACACACACACACACACACACACTTGCTCTCACCCCTCTGGTTTTCAGGTGTCTGGGGAGCAGTGCAGCCCCTCTAAATAACACAACATTCCCCTGGGAATGTCCCCTTGGAGGTGCACTGGCACCTCCCCATGCCTTAGCTTTATCCCTCCCAGTGTGGGCAGCCCCCAGGCCATGGCTGAACACTCCAGAGGGGCCAGCTGGAGGGTCCCCATGGGCAGGAGTGTCCATCAAAGACCTCAGTCAAGCACATGACCAGGTGCCTGCTGATCCCTCAGATGCTCTGGGAAGTCTGTGGGGAGCTCAGTAGGCCTCTGTGTTAGATACACAACAGCCAGCCCGTCACACCCTTGGCTCCAGGAGAACGGGTATCCTGTACTCCCCCACTCAAGGCAACACTGTGCCAGTGTCCTGCCTGCTCCCCAGTGACTTCACACTCCCCAGGAGCACCTGGAGGAGGAGGAATTACCTCCAGGATGTTGTAGCGGGAGTTGTCGCAGTAGTCGCGGACGCCGATCTCGGTGCCCATGTACCAACCGCTGAAGGGGCAGGCGGAGAACTCCAGGCCACCGATCTCCAGGAGCATGTTGGAAACTGCTGGCAGACCATACCACTTCAGCCCCAGGTCCTTGAACCACTCAAACCTGCCAGGACAAACGGGGTTAGGCAACCAACCAGACCTTTCCCTGGGAAGTGGAGGAGGAGGAGGTCACTTTGCTGCCGGGGGGGAAGGACGTGAGCAGAACGAACCCTGGAGGCGACACCTCCCTTGGGGGCTGTTTAACGGGGGAAAGTGAGGTATCAGGAGTGTTGTGGAGTGGTGCAAGTCCTGGGAGACTTCAGGGAAAGGGGAACTAGCCCTCAGACAAGGACACAACTTGCTTTCCATCTCCAGGCTCCGCCAGCTTGAGCGAAGGGAAGACCTGGGGGAAGGTCTTGGGTAAAGGGCCCAAGCCACGGCAAGGAAAGACCAAACACAGGGGGTGGAACCAGAGGATCTCAGTCCTGCTGATCCCCTCGAGCAGTTCTGGGGCTTCCTCTGACTTACTTGGGGTGCCGGATGGGCACTTCCAGCACGAGCTCCGGGGGGATTTCGAAGAGCTCTGGGTCGTTGCCGTTGGCTTGGAGGAGCAGAGGCAGGATATCAAAGCGTCCGTACGGCGCCTTCCAGCCTTGCTGGATGCAGATCTACGGGAAAAACAGAAGTGGGGTCAGATGTCCCAGCAAGTCTCTGCTCTTCAGGCACTATGGGCAGGGAGTCACATGGCTCCGAATGGGATTTCCAAGGATTTTCCAAGGATTTTCCAAGCTATGCTCGGCTCCGTTATGGTTGAGTAATAACCTCCAACCTAGGGAGCTACAATGGGGTGTTGCCTGTCATAGGCAAGTAAGGGGGATTTGGGTTGAAAATGAGCCCAGAACTAGATCCCAGGTAGAAACGTGGCTCTGGAAAATCCACTCACGCCATTTGTACCTGTGATGGGGAAGGGGAAAACGGGTGAGAAGAGCAGAAAAGCGAAAAATCATTCTTTATTCCCGAGAAGATACCTGAGGGCGAGCCAAGCCCAGCCTCCCTTCGCGGTGCTGCAGTGGGTGAGCTAAACCTGCTTGACCCACACCCTCCTCGCTCCTGGAAGTCTCAGATTTCTGGGTGTCCCCAGCAGCCCCACGCCCGCGGTGCCCGGGAGGTTCGCTCTGGTACCTCTGTGAGCTCCACGTTGGCAGGGTCTCCCAGGATGGTGCCGTCGGGCTGCTTGTAGCCGGCGTAGCGGATGAGCTGGGCGTTCCAGATGCGGAAGTCGTGCTTGCTGTCCGTCCGCTGCGGGAAGATGGTGATGGCAGACCTGGGAGGAGAAGGGGCAGCGCCGGTCAGCGCTGGGAGAGGGGAAGTGTTGTGGGGAAAGGTGCTGTCCCTGCCCGTCCCACCACCCTGGGTGAGCCCCAGACAGTTTTACGCTGGAAGGAGTCACGGCAAGGCTCTGGAATTCGGGGTGCTTCCAGCTCCAGGCAGAAGCTGGCTGAAAACGTGGGGTTTCTGACAAATCTGGAGAGCGGCCCGTGCTCTGTGTTTGACACAGAATATAGGAAAGGAGAAATAATTGGAAAATCTGCCCTCTGAGGTCCCATAGAGAGCAAGGGCTTGATTTGGACCAGCAGGACACCTTCTCCTCAGAGTGGGTCCCTCTAACACAGGTGAGGGCTACAACCCTCCTGCTGCTGAAGGAGACAAGTTCAGCAGGGCCCAGAGCTGGGTTTGCACACATCTCAGAGGCCTTTGGACACAAACTCCCTGGTGCCTCACCTGAGGTTCCCTTTGTTGGTGGCATATTTGATGTGGTTGCAGATGTAGTTGAACATCCCGTGGGCTGTGGTGCAGTCCCGGGCATCAAACACCTGGAACAGGGGAAGGGATTGTGGTGATGCTACAGGATACTCCAAGGGCAGAGCCAGGCAGATGGAAACACAGCACACGGAGAACTCTAGACACCACTGCGGCTTCTTAGGGATCTAAAGATCCATAATTATGTGTTCTCTGCCTTTAGAACACGTGGATGTGTAATCCAGCTGCCCCTTTTGCTTTGGAGAGGTGAGTCATCTGCTGCTCAGGCAAAAACCTCCTCATTCCAGTGCTCCCAACCTGCTGCTGTCCCTGGCTTATCCAGCAACGATTTTGGGCTCTGCTCTGTTTCTCTTGTAGATCAACACTCAAAGGTGAAATAGGAGAGGGGTCAGCCAGGTCTGAGGGACAGGGTGTCATGGAATCATAGAATGGTTTGAGGTTGGAAGAGGCTTTTAAAGAGCATCTCATTCCACCCCCTGCCATAGGCAGGGACACTTTCTAGCAGACCAGGTTCCTCAGTGCCCTGTCCAGCCTGGCCTTGGACACTTCCAGGGATCCAGGGGCATCTACAAGAGGATGGGGAAACCAGGGAAGAGGGTCAGCAGGAAGCTTGAAGTTCTTGCAGGAATGCCCCCCCCCCAAGGTTCAGATGTGCCCAGAGGAACAGTGGATGAGCTGAAGGCTGAGCTGGGAGCGAAGGAGGCCCAGCCCCCTGGGCAGGCTGTGCCCACACTCTGTGGGAAGCTCCACCAGAGCTCCTCAGCAGCACTGGAGCTGGGCTCCAAGATACAGCAGGAGTTGTCATCTCCGTGCCAAGGGATTCCACTCGAGATCACTAATCCCCAATCTGCTCTACACTCCCACCAGGCAGAAGGGCACTGAGCCAAACCCCCTCCTGCCATAGCATGTCTGTACCGAGGGCGAGTGTGTCCTGCTGGCTCTCTGCAGGCACAGCAACAGTTCTGGAAGCAGCAGGGGAGATATCAGAGCACTGTCTGACTTTGGAAGAAGTTCCCAGAGCGCCAGCCCCATTTCAGACACCTCAGCTACACCAACCCCACCGATGCTTTTCCATCTCCCGCCGAGTTCCCAGCCTGTGCACCCCCAAAGCTGCTGCTGTGTGATGAACACCCGCTGCTGTACCTGTGCTGTGCTTCCCCAGGTGTTTGAAGAGCAAGATTTGCCTCTCCACAGCTCCAGTGCCCCCTTTTTACCTGCAGCTTGGACCACTGGATCCTGCCCACGCAGCGGGCTGCGTTCCTCCAGGCGTGCTTGGCTCCGTAGATGAGCTCGGTGTCCCGCAGCTGGTAGGTGTCAGTGGCTTCAATCTCCTTGGTCACCTCCTCCAGCCTCTCCATGTGGGCCTTGGAGCCAGATCTGGGTGGGTGGGGAGCAGAGGAGGTGGCACTTTGGGTGGTCTCCACCCGGGCGTGAGTTCTTCCCTCCTTAAGCATGTGTGTGCTCACACATACACACAGACACACACACAGACACACAGACACACAGACACACAGACAGACACACACACAGACACACAGAGACACAGACACACACAGACACAGACACAGACACACAGAGACACACACACACACAGACACACACACAGACA